TAGGGGCCCGACCACAATACCCCCCCCACAAGAAACCCAACCCTGAGACCCCAGGACGTCCCTGGATCTTGGGTGTGGGCACGTCACGCTCTCCATTGCAAGACCATCGAAGCCCAAGAAGCCCCGGGCATCCTGGGAGGCGAGCAGGGTGCCTCTCCTGGCATGGGCCCCCACCGTGTGAGAGGCGCAGCTGCGCTGCCGCACGGACTCGCTGCGCCAGGGGCAGGGGGCAGAGGGGGGGGGCGGGGGGGCAGGGCGAGGGCCCGCACCCCCTCCCTCCTCCTCCTCCTCCTCCTCCTCCTCCTCCTCCTCCTCCTCCTCCTCCTCCTCCTCACCAGGAACGCTGCGCTCGCTCCCAGTCGGCGTCACCTCAACGCACTAGTGCTACACATGCGTCGCCCCCCCCCCGAGGGGCGACGCGCGGACCGAGAACTCTTCCAGCGTGTGCGTCGTGGCCGGCGCTTTCTGGCTACACCGCCCGGGAAACGATATATGCTACAAGATGGGTCTACTACATGTTCGGGTCGGAGACGCACCTCCGAGGATACCATCTACTACTACTATGTCTTTGTGCGTCCCACTCAGTTTCCAGACCCCCTCGCGTTGTGAAAAAAAAAACACGCAACGGGAGTCTTTTCCATAGTTTTGCCTTCTGGGGGCCCCTACCAGGTTTCGGGATCGTCAAGAGGTGACTCGGGATTAAGAACTGGTCCTGGGGAATGGGTCCAGACCTCTGGGGGTCGATGTCATGAACAAATCATGACGTCGGGGGTCTGGGTTTTCACCTGGGGGGTCAAACATCCCTGGACTTGGATCAGCACATGGACGTATGCTGGGCCCGATGAGTCAGGGGGGGGCCCAGACGGTACGGCCTCTGGGGAAGCGGGGTGCATGAAGAACGCCTGACACCTGCCAGAGGCCGAAGAGCGTCCTGGCGGATTGCTTTCGTTGCAGTTGTCGTCCACGCATCTTTCTTTCACCATCCCGCCGCTCAGCGGTTGATCGGTGGATTTCGATGTCTCTGTCGCCCCCCTCTCTCTCTCCCTCGCTTTCTTCCCGCTTGGGAATCTGGGAGCTTCTCGCCGCCTCTGCCAGGGCGCTCCGGAGGGCCCCCCTGTGCTCGCCCCACGTTCTCCTCTCCCTCGTCACCGGTACAGAAGCACCCGTCTTGAGTCTTCTGCTACGCCTCGCTCTTCCCGCCTGCTCTTCCTTCCTGCAGCCGGACAATTCGTGCGCCGACCCCCCCAGTTGCTCGAGCGCGCGTGCGGATTGCCTCTGCCGCGCTGCGACGTAAAAGTTCCTTTTCGCGACGCCCAGATCTGAGGGGCCTTTGGCGCTCGGTCGAAGAGCCCCTCTCGACTACAAGTGAGAGTGACCTTTCGCCGGATTGACCTCTTGGTGCGGGCCCAGTAGGGTCCCCCGATCGCCGAACGCGAGGCGGCAGTGGCGTCTTGCGCGCTTGTGTTTCCCCCCCCCCCCCCCCCCCCCCGCGGCCCCCCAAAAGCCGCGCACCAAAGGTCACTCTTACCCATGGCCAATCTTGCGTGCAGCCGATCGAAGAGCTCCTCCCTCCCCAGGCCTTCAGCACTTCTTCGGGTTGCCAGCGCCTGGGGCTCCCGACCGCTCCTCCCCAGGGGTCGCTCCGTGCCCTGAGCCGCTTGGCGGCAGTCCTTGTCTTGAAGTTCGAGGAGGTGCCGAGCGATAACTCCGCTTTGAAAGGCACCCGCCCCGCTTTGAAAAGGTGCCGCCCTCCATGCGTGCACGGTCGGACCGAGGTATAAGATCGAGGTCGATTCGGGGAGGGTGCCCTAGACTTCTCCGCGTTTGCTGCACGTTCTTGTGCATTCTGGGGAGGGTTCCCTTGGATGCTGTGCGTGTTTTAGTCGGCGGAGGGTCTCGTCTTCTTGAGGGATGTTCTTCTGGCCTGTGTCCGACTGCGGCTGTTGCAGATTTCTCCTCTGGCGGTGCAGTCCAGCGGTGCCTCAGGCGAGAGCCCCATTTGGAAGAAGATCCGCCCTCCCTCTGCGCAGCTGCTGCCCGACTTCTAGACATGTGGCAGCACTCTCGAGGACTTCTCAGACGGCGAGGGCCCCACCGCGAGAGGCATTGGCCTATAGGCCCTGCGTAAGTACATGGTGGAAGCGTGAAAAAAAAGAATGCGCTTGGCGCCACAGTTCGAACACGTGCCCGTCTCCACCCGTGCCATTCCCAGCCATTCCTGTGGCGCTGGGTCCTCCTTCTGAAGAGAGCGCCCCGCGCCTCCTTCCTTCCTCCTCCCCCTCCTCCTCCTCCTCCTCCTCCTCCTCCTCTCCTCCTCCTCCTCCTCCTCCCCCTCCTCCTCCTCCTCCTCCTCCTCCTCCTCCTCCCCCCTCCTCCTCCCTCCTCCTCCCCCTCCTCCTCCTCCTCCTCCTCCTCCTGCTTTCATCCGTGCACCTGCCCTCCGCATGTCTACTTCGGCACACCCTCACGTTTCGTGGACCCATCGGGGGCTCCACCGACGGTCCCAGCGGCAGCGTCCGCACGGCGCGACCCGCACCCAGCTCGGCATTCCCTCACATGCCGTGTGATCCCATCAGGAGCGCCACCGAAGGCTTCAGCGGCAGCCTCCGCATGGCGCATCCGCACCCGATTCGGCCTTCCCCGCACATGTTTCGTTGCCCCATAGGGAGCTCCGCCGAAGGTCCCGACGGCAGCGTCCGCATGGCGTACCCGCACATGTTTCGGCATTCCCCTCACAGGCTCCGTGGCCCCAACGGGAGCTCCACCCACGGCTTCAGCGGCAGCATCCGCATGGCGCACCCGCACCCGATTCGGAGTTCTTCTCAAGCGCTTCGTGCCCCTTATAGGGAGCTCCACCGCAGGCCCCAGCGACAGCGTTCGCATGGCGTACCCGCACTCAATTTGGTACTCTCCTCCAGCTTCGTTTCCCCATAGGCCCAGCGTCAGCGTCCGCATGGCGCATCCGCACCCGATTCGGCCCTCTCCGCACATGTTTCGTTACCCCATCGAGAGCTCCGCCGAAGGTCTCAACGGCAGCGTCCGCATGGCGTACCAGCACCCAATGCGGCACACCTCTCACACGTTTCGTGGCCCCCTAGGGGGGCTCCACCGAAGGCCCCAGCAGCAGCGCCCGCATGGCGTGCCCGCACCCAATGCGGCACACTCCTCAAACGTTTCGTGGCCCCCTATGGGGAGCTCCACCGAAGGCCCCAGCAGCAGCGTCCGCATGGCGTACCCGCACCCGATTGGGCACACCCCTCACACGCTTCGCGGCCCCCTATTGGGAGCTCCACCGAAGGCCCCAGCGGCAGGGTCCGCATGGCGTGCCCGCACCCGATTCTGGACACCGCTCACGCGTTTCGTGGCTCATAGGGAGCTCCTCCACCGAACGCTGTGTTCAAACGATGGTCACAACTGCACCTGGACGTGTCCGTCGCCAGGACACTCGTTGGAGGCTCTTCTCCACCCCGCTCTCCCTCAGCCCCTCGCCCCCCCCCCTCTCACTCCGCCCCTCCCTCGTGCTGCTCGTTCGTCGCGCCCCTCCCTCCTCCCCGCCTGCCCGCTCCTGGCCCCGCGCGCGCCGTGCCTCGCCCTGCCCCGGCCGCGCGCGATGTGGTGCGCCGCGCGCGCGCGCCCTGCTCGCCCTTTCGCCCGCCCTGTCGCCCGCCTCCGCCGTCGTCCGCTGCTGCTGCTGCTGCTGCTGCAGCTGCAGCTCGCCTTTCCAGTCCCTCCTCCCCTCCCCTCCCCTCCCTTTCTCCCCCTTCTCCTCCTCGTCGCGCGTCCGCGCCCCCCCCCCCCGCAGGGGAAACAACAAACGCCACAGCTGGTTGCCGCACATCGGGGCTTGACTGTCCAGCCGCCTATGCCGCTGTTTCACCGTGCGAGATCACGACGCGGTTCATTTCTGAAGTGCCCGTTGCTCAGAGCTCTTCGCTGGAATGCTGAGGTCTGAATTCCTGTGATAGTATAAACCATGCTGGAAGTTTCTGAAAGGAATTTGCGCGGCGGTGGGGTTAGAGCCTCTTTTTGAAAAGATACTGCCCAACATCCGTGTGGCTGTTGGACTTCCCACCTGCGGGGTGGTAGTCGTAGGACACGCCTGGCCCTGCAAGAGCACGCCTGGTGGCAGGGAGATGCCGATTATAGGAAGAGGGTTGGAGGACGAGGAGTATCGCGCGAGGAGGCCCAACGAGGATTGCACGAGGAGGAGGAGGAGGAGGAGGAGGAGGAGGAGGAGGCGGAGGAGGAGGAGGCGGAGGAGGAGGAGGAGGAGGAGGAGGAGGGGGGAAGAGGAGGAGGAGGGGGAGGAGGCGTTTCGGCACGGCGGGCCAGGGGCGGCCCGCTCCGCTGAAGCCCCAGTCTCTCGCCCTGTTGAGGGCAGCGGTGCCACGGCCCGCGCGCGCGGCCGCGATCTGCGTCGCCCGCCGGGCACAGGCGCCTGCGACGATGCCGCTCTGCTGCGCGGCGACTCCTGCGTCTGGACGCAGCTTCGAAGCTGCTTCAAGGGCACCACGGCGAACATCATAGAACGTTCGAAGGAGGAGGCGCCGACGGCGACATGCTTGCGCTGCAGGAGGACAGCCTCATACGATGTGAAGCGTGTGGGTGCGGCAAGAACCAATGCTGGTGGAAGTGGTGCAAGCACTGCAAGGCTCCTCTGCATCGTGTCCGTGGTCCTGGGCTCCCTGGGCCTGGTGGCAAGGCACATGGGCGAGGTGGTCGTTCGCCAGCCGTGTGTTCGGGACCTCCGTGGGCGAGTGGGGGCAGTGCCGGTGGGAGCCAGTGCAGACACCCCAGCCGCCAGCCCAGTCGCCAAGGCACCAGCGGAACCAAGCTGGCCAGGCGGCCCTCCAGCGTCGGCTTCGACCTTGAGGTGGTCATCTCCGATGAGGGAGGTAAAAGGGGTCGGCAAGGAGGAGGCCCGCTTGGTCAAGTTGGTGGACCTCCTCGTGGTGGCAGGCGATGCAAGTGTAGCACATGAATATCGCCAAAAGCCGGAGGTTCACCGCAGAGCGGAGGCTGAGCGAGGGGTCACCTTGGACGTGGCCAAGCAGCAGCAGAAGGATGTTGAGGAGTCTTTGTCCAAGGCCATCGCCGAGTATGAGCGCCTCGACAAACTGCTGGACGACGCGGGGACGGAGGTCGCGCGCCTGGAGAAGGAACTTGACGTGGCCCGTGCTAGGTACCAAGCGGCTGTACGGAGGTTGCATAGCAGCGTGCTCCCTGATGGAGGAGATGCTGGCACCGAGGTTTCCTCAGGCCAGGCTGGCCCGCCAACGATCCAGATCGGGCAGCTCCTGGCGGGGGACGGCTTTACTCTGAGGGGACAACGGATCTTTCGGCATTGGGGAACTCGGCGAGGTGGTCTCTGAGGAGGACCGCCAGGAGGCCCAACAGAGAAAGAAAACATTGGAGGACCTCTTCAAGCGGGCGGCCACCCAGGCGTTTGGGCCGTTCAAAGCCAAGGCAGAAGAGCTTCGGGAGCGGCAGAAGCAGCAGAAGGCCAGGCTCGCGGCCAAGAAGAGGAAGAACGAGTGGGACCAGCAGGACCAGCAGGAAGGGAAGCCAGCACCAGGGCTTCAAGAAACTGCTGGAGACGGGGCTTCAGATGCTGCAGCGAGACAGCAATCACCAGCAGCAGGACAACCAGGATATACATCAGGGGCAGAGGCCCCAGAAACGCCACCAGCTTGGGCCATAATCCAGGCGGCCAAAGAGAGGCTGGAGGTTGGAAGGGAGAAGAAGATGGAGGCGACAGGTGCTGACCAGGCTGAGAACCCGCAGTCGTGTCTTTAGCAGCCAACGGGGTGCGGGAAACTGCCGTTGCCCTGACGACGATGATGTATTCAACTTGGTCAGTTTTGATGCTACTCTGCCGAGTGCAGTTGGCAAAGAGGGTTCGGTCGTCCATCTACTTCATGGGAATGTGAATGCGTGGGGAACTAACTGTTCGCAAGATTTTGAATGCACCTCGTCTCGATCAGACACGGCCGGCAATGAAAACGATGGAGGCAGTACGCCGGCTTCTTCGATGTTTCCCTCAAGGCTGCCGTCCTGCTGTGGTCCTGCGATCCCTGCCAGGTCAGAGGTTGTGTTCGGGCAAGCTGGCATGTCGGGGGGTGGACCCATGGCGAGTGCCCCTTCTTCTCCTCGGATGTCTATGTGGCCTTCGGCACCAGCGGGACCTTCGACGACCTGGGCTCCCAGAGCCACGGGGGGATCGCAGAGGCCGTGGACGTCGATGAGAAGGAATCCAAGTGGCGTGGATTCCAGGGCGGGAGAGGGCACCCATCGCGAGCTGACTGACCGACTGGTGCGGCCGTTGAGGAGCATCATAGGCAACTGGCTCGCATAGGATCCATTTGGTCATTGTGAAGAGCGAGCCGCTGCTGTTGGCTCCGATGGTGCGAGCCCTACGCCAAGGCGGAGCTTGACAAGGAGGTCTGCATGCAGATGGTCTACGCCAGGGCAGCGAAGACGGACTTATGCAGAGAAGTGGTGAAGCAGATGGTTGCGGATCATGTTGGCAAGCTGGCCTGGAGTGACAGGCGAGCCAAACGACGACGACGTCTACGATGGTTCTGGCGATCGCGCGAGGCGAATCTACTAGCGGTGCCAGGTCAGCTGCGACGACAGCGATTATGCATGAAGAGGATCCAAGCATGGATGTAGTGCGAGTGCGATGTCCCTGCTAGACGGGCCTGCTTCGGGCATGGGCCGATGCCGACGACAGCGCGCTCCGCCAGCAGACCAGTGTCGGCGACCTCTGCGACAGCGAAGGCAACGGCTATGGCGACGTGTCTGGCGACGGCTGGCGCCTCGGGCACGGGCGGCGCGCCGTCGGCGGGGACTTCGATTCCGCCAGCATCGGAGGCAGGTCCTGCGGCAGCCCCCACTGTCCTGCGCTCCCAGCCCCCTGGCAGGGACGGAGGCGGGGCCAGCAGGCCCAGGACTGAACGAACAGACAAGGTCTGGCGCCCCAGGCTTCGACGCGCGCCAGGGAGCCAGGCTGCTTGCAGGGGGCCCCCGATGGGGGGCCGGAAGCGCGGCTGCAGTTCCGAAGGGGAAGGCCGCGCTTCGTTCCCGCTATCGCAACAGGAGGGCGTGCTCTTGCGACCTCGGCAGGGGTCATGACAGGTGTCGAGCGACTTGTGCGAGCTAGGGCTGTGCCTGGTGCTCGGCTGGGCCTTGGTCCAGTGGCAGCTGGGTGAGTGTGGGTGCAGTTCATGTAGTCGTCCCAACGGCCATCAGCTGGGTTATCTTGTGTGTGCACTGGGGTTGCCAGCCTGTCATCGACAGTGCTTGGGCGCGTTCGTGGTCTCGCAGGGACTCACGAAGGCGGTGGTCATAGTGTCAGGGCTCCATGCAGTGCCCCAGTCACCGCATGTGCCACTGCCCTTGGAGCTCCAGGGTCTAGACCTCAGCTAGAAGGTGCACGTCAAGAAATCCTGAAACGCCTTTCCGACGACTAGGCCGATTGGCTGCGTGCGGGAGTGCTCGCCCTTGCCGTGGTCTTGGGGGCCTGAGAACCCGCCGGGGCACAAATCCTTTGAATCGGCCTCGACGGACTTGTTAGGGATTATGGAGACTAGCTTTTGCGAGCAGTTCGACATTGTTGGGCTTGCTAGGGACAGGTACGTAGGACGAGCAGATGGCTTCCTGAGGGCACCCCATACAGCTCCACGCTATCCTCACGAAGGCGTGGCACGCTAACAGCACACCTAAGCTCAAGGCCTGGAGACCCTTGGGCGTCTTGGTTAGCAGAGCGGCTATCTTCTGGAAGTGCCCTGGGGGCTTTCCTGGCAATTACTTGGGGGACCTCGTGGGCCACATAAAGGAGCTAGATTGGGACCTCTGAGGGCCAGAGTTTGGCACCCTCGACCTTCGCCACCAGCAGCTCTTTGAGAAGCTCTTCGGCGGTGGGCCAGAATTCGATGCGTTAGCAGAAGTGGCGGCAGAAGCTGCGAGCAAACATGCATCCAGGAATCTGGTATGCGATGGAGAGACTTGCAAACGTGGACCCAAGAGTCGGTCCAGAGCGAGGGAAAAGCTGCCCATGGGTATGTCATGGATTAGAAACAGCTTAAGCCACCCATTGGCTTTGCAGGCTTGCTTGAATTTGGAGATGGCGCGGTGGATCAACTCGTGACCGGGTTGGGCGAGTATTGGCAGGATGCAAAGTCCAAGCTCTCTGCCCATCTAAAACTGGAAGCACGTGTTGGGCCCCTTCCCTCGGCCATCGCTTGAACAGCTTGATAGTTTACTACGCAAGTTCAGGCGCATTGTAGAATTGGGCACGGATGGGGTCAACCTCGAGTCGCGGCTTCTCCTGGAGGAAGATGCGCGGCGTGGGCTTTTGGATGCGATCCTGATTTTTGGGGGAAACCCGGCCTTCCTGGGAAATGGCCAACCGTGTTTGTGTTCGCTGGGGGGGGGGGGGGGGGGGCGAGCGTCAGAAGATCTCCGGCCCGTGGCCCCAATCATATTTATATTTCGGGTTTGGATGCGACTGCGCCGACACCTTGCGAAACAATGGGAGCTGGACCATCATTTTGGGGAATTGTGGGGCTCGCGCGCGAGGGAATGCGACGCGGCGGGGTGGGGCCGCAGCATGTATAATCACTTCGCACAGGTGGCCCATTATGAATGTGGCACGCTCTTCTCGGACCTCTCAACACCTCACGAGAGAATCTCGCGCCACCACCTGTTCGAACAAGGTAAGAGCAATGCTTTTCTGCTGGAGCTTATCCTCCTGGCATGTAAGCTACGCTCGGGACGCCATCCCTGGCGGTCACCGTGGCTGGAGTTCTCTTGCACAGCCTCCTGAGCTCCCTCTCCCGACAGTTCCCTGCAGCTCTCACGCGCAGTGTCGTCGATGATGTCCATGCTCAGTGCATGGGCACAGTCCGTTTTGTGAGCAATCAGCTAGGAGGAGCAGGGCGGCTCCTGGCGGCAGGATACAGGACAGTGGAGTTGGTGCTAGCTGACAAGAAACACATTTCGCTGCATGCATGTTGGGGCTTGCCGAGGAGCTATCAGCCATATGGAAGGACCAGCTCTTGTCCAGGAGATATGCCGCCAAGTCGCTGAGGGTCGACGCCCGCTCGAACAAGCGTGGAGTGACCGCGACCGCATGCAAACGGCTCAAGAAAGGCCCAAGGCGGTCCAGGAAGTAGCTGACACTCAAGAGCGCGGGCGCCAAGGTTCAAGGAATCCAGCGTGCGGGGCCCTATGTGACGGTCCTCTGGGGGGGCTGGAGTGGGCGGCCTTTCTGGTGGACAGCTCCATGGCCTAAGAAGGGCCGCTGTACATAGTATTATAACGGCAAGAAGTGCACCTCGGTTGGCCTGGAGATGGCCGCGGCTAAGCTTGGCGGCACCCGCGTGGCGGCAGTCGAGGATCTGAGCATGATCAGTGTGACGCCGGACTGGTCGGTGGCATCTAGCCCTTCCATGTTTACCCCCCCTCCCTCCAGCAGCTTGGTTGGGTGGCGTCGTCTGCGGCGGTGCTGCAGATTGACGCGGGCGAGACCGAGACAGTTGACCTTCGCAAGATTGGGCCAAGCAGGTCCAGTGCATGGCCGCGAGGGCGGCGCGTAGTTTTTCGGATGCTATGGCCCTGGACAGCATGGATGAACAACCCTAGCGGGTCGTTTTTTTGTTGGGAGCCCCCTGGCCCAACTCCCGGACAAAGCTGGTGGTGAGTCTTGGACGGAGCGCCACGAGGAGAGTCTCAGGTCCGTTATTTGTCAGCAGCATTGGGACCAGGCCGAGCAGTATAGGCAGGGCAAGTCAGAGTCGGAGCTTTGTCCGAAGTGCCGTAAGGATCCAGGCACCTTGTGGCGCCGCAGGTTCAGATGTGAGCACTGGCGAGGGGACGGTGCTGCCTGCCTCTCACCAGTGGTTTCGAGAGCGTCTGCAGTGATGCAGCTCGCGGGCCACGGGGCAGGACCTAGAGATGGCAGCGTGCGGGCTCTTCCCGCTTCCCTTGGAGCTCGTGCCTCGGCCTTTGTGAGACAGAGGTGCAGACCACATGGTACCTCAGACCTGCATGTGGTTTTTTTTTCTCGGGCTCATTTTTCCTGACGGCTCAGCCGTCGTCCCCATCTGCCCCCCTGGCCCGCAGAGCGGGGTGGAGCCTACTGCAGATCTCGGAGGATGGACAGTTGGTGGGGGCTGTCTACGGGGCTGTTCCGTGGCATCTTCCTCATGGCGGCACGTGGCTGTGTACAGGGACAGGCAATTGTTTTGGATTGTCAAGGCACCGTCGATTACATCAATCACCCTGTAAGCGCGTGCTCGGTGGCGAATCCTAGATGCCACCTCTGGGAAGAGTTCACTCGGGCCCTCCTTGGGTTCGTGGCGGTCAAGGTTAAGGCCCACCTCCCTTTTCAGCGCGGTGTCAGAAGGTCGGGTCTCGGAGTTTCACTGGGCTGGACATAGAATCGCTCAGCATTGTGCTGGCCTTGGTGCCACGCAGCACCCTGACACAGGCCCAGCAAAGACCAGCCTGGACGTCCTTGGAGAGTTGGTCAAAACAGTGGTCCAGTCGGCTGC